TGTCTGTGTCTGTGTCTGTGTCTGTTTCTTTTTTTTCCTTGTGCTCAATGATGACTTCCCAGTAACTTGCCCGTTATTTTAGTTTTTTCAAGTTCAACAAATACCTCATGGGAACACCATATCCGAGCGGACCTCCTTGATAATCACGACCGCAAGGTGTAACCAGTATTAAGATGCAAAAGAGAAGTGGAGGTGCTGTTCGCGTTGATAGTCAGTAGGCTTGTGAAAGTGGTAGGATCGTGCAATGGATTCTTTTCTTTTAGTTATCTTAATAGGGCATTCGCAGAAACTGTCGCTTACATATGGTTATTATATATGGGTACCGGAATAATATGGAGTGCGTGACAAATAGTGGTCACTCTTGTTGTCAACTAAATTTTCATGCTGTATGTCGCAGGACAAACGTTTCCCACACTAGGAAAACCTCTTAATTGGCACCTTGAGAAATTCATTACACTGTAACCGTTAAACACATAGTCCCTTAATGACTTCTTTTCTTCTGCATAACCCACGCATCGCGAGCTACTATGTGGGATTACATCAGCTCCTAATCCACTCAGAATCTGTTTACGAAGTATTGATAATGATAACGATGAGCTAGCATAAATCAAGTGGAATTCTCTTTTCGGTTTTTCTCTCTGGCAACATGGTCTCATTGTATATTCGATAGTTTCCTTGCTTGTTTAACATTTACACGGAGAAAGCGGCTCGTCAACGGTTTGTGATAATTGGTAAGCAAAAATGACTGATGGGAAGTTTCGTTCGATTCAGAAATTTACCATTTGCTCAGAAAACCCCAATTTACCGAAAGAGTCCAGGACCCGTCCACACTACGCCAGGGTGTAGTGTTTGTAAGGTACATTTTGGTGCATCATACATAATACACTTAAGCGCGCAATGTAAGCTGGGAAGTTGATTATTAAAGCAGCATGGCATACCTCTCGATTTCAATCGTGTGTCGTATCCGTTCATTGCAATAATCTAGTTCCGTCGGTTGTGGAACGTGACATCTTGCGACGAGGATTGAAGTTGCAACTGCCCAGACCATGGCGTCAATAAAGATAGACGATTTAACGAGTGTAAAACCCTTCGACCCACATGGTGAACTTTCAGGCGTGGGAAGGCGATAGCAGCGTTGGTTGAAAAGTTTCTCGGTGTATGCCGACAGCAAAGGCTTGCTCATCGAAGCGGAAAAAGCGGATAATAAAATCCAGAGGAGAGCTTTACTCCTTCATTCTGCCGGCGAAGCTGTTCAAGAAATTTTCGAAACGTTGGCTGACACAGGCGAGGCGAAAGATTACGAAAAAGCGGTGAAGGCTTTGAACGATTATTTCATTCCAAAGGTAAATTCGACATGCCAAAATCACCTGTTCCGCAGCATGGAACAACAGGACGGCGAAACTGTGGCTCAGTTCGTGACACGATTGAGGCGAGTGGTCAAGGACTGTGACTACGGCGAACAAGCTGAAAACCAGATTCGGGATCAAGTCGTGCAGAGATGCAAATCACATGAATTAAGGAAGAAACTACTGGAAAAAGGTGAGAAATTAACCTTAGAGCTGTTACTTTCGACGGCAGCAAATCACGAGCGAGTTCAGTCACAACTGGAGAATATGGAAGGCAGAAAGGATGTGAATTTGGTCCGCCACAAGCAGGAAGACAAAGAGAAGGAGTCTGTAAAGCGAGCATGCTACAGATGTGCAAAAGTAGGACATTTTGGACGAGACTCTGAATGCCCTGCGAAAGGAAAAACTTGTCATAAGTGCGGAGGAGCTGACCATTTTGGTTCGCAGTGTAGAACAAAAACAGCCAAACCTCCCAAACCTAGACAAGGAGAGACAAAAGGAAAGAAAAAGAAGTCAGTAAGGTATGTGGGAAGTGAAAGAGATGAAGATGAGTATGCATTTACTTTGAATTCTGCTACATCTCCTGAGAAAATAGATGTGACCTGTGGGCGGAGTTGTAGTTGCAATGCTGATTGATTCGGGTGCGAGCACCAATGTGATTGACAAAAATATGTGGTCAAAGTTAAAGCAAGACAAGATTAAGTGTGTGTCGAGAAAGAGTGATAAGAAGCTTTATGCGTATGGCAGTAAACAGCCGTTGAACGTTCTAGGAACATTCTCAGCACTGGCAAGAGTAGAGGGGAAAGAAGCCAAAGCCGAATTTGTCGTTATTAATGGTGAAGGGGCAGCACTGCTTGGAAGAGAAACTGCCATACAGCTAGGCGTGTTGAAATTAGGAACCCGGATCTGCACTGTGACATCTAATGAGACAATT